TCACTCCGAATCCTCAGTCCAAGCAGGAAATCACAGTGGAACTTCCCTCAAAGAATGAAAGAGGAGGAATAGATGCAGTTGTGAGTCTCGTTCAAAGATGAGGAAATCTCAGTTTGAAGAATTTGGCCAAAGCCACACAAATGACAGTTTTGGATATTTGAATTCAGTAACATCTGTTTCCAAAATTTCCACACTTCAAAGTAACCTCTGCCCCTCGGTTGTGTTCTCCAAACATTTCATATTCTGTTAAGCTCACTTAACTGCTCTCCCCTTTTATAAACTACTCCCTTTTCTTTTAAGCCCCACCTCCACCAGCTTCTATTTCCTATATAGTGGACCCCTGAAATTTATGGGTTTATGTTCCTAGACCACGTGGAAATTACAAAAAGCTGTGAATTTCAAATGTGAGAAAAATAATGCTTATTTTCATATTGTAAAACTAAATATGCTATGGCTCTCAGTTATGTAATTTAATTCAATAGTGTATTAGCAAACCCTTAGAAGGTGCAAGAGGCTTTGGCAGCATCTTAGGGATCTTGGGGCTTTAGGAACAAAACCAAGAACTCATGGGAGAGCTACATGCTGTACAGCAACCTGTTTTGATGCAGGAATGCTGGGACCAGAGATGGGTACAGCGCAGCCTCCCTTCAGCAACACAAAGAAGTGAAGGACGCTCTCATATTAGCTTTTTGCGAACCTCCTGTGCAAATAGAATTGCAGAGGACATGAGGGCTTTCCACAAATTGGATAGGGTTTCTGCCAACAAATGTAACTTAGGTTGTAAAAGAAAACTTCAGGAATGACAGATGCCCTCACACTAAACTATATCTTCATGAATTTATGCTGTATTTCCATCCAGCAAGAGGTTTCACAGCCTGAGAAATTCCCAGCGAGCTTGCACACTGCTGAGTGGTCATCCTGTGGAGTCTCTATTTCCACTCTCCGGGTTTGGATGACACAGGGAAATAAAAGGGAGGCAGACATCCTTATCACAGCAGGGATATTCTAGCTCCATGTTGGTTCCTGGTGGGTGAGAAGGGGTGTCTCAGCAGTCACTGAAAGGATGTCTCTTTCCTCAGTCTTTTCCAACACCCCTGGCATTAGGATTTCACCAGGATGAGCACGCAGACCCCCCACACACACTCTACTGAAACTGGCAATTCAGAGCTTGCTGAGGGACAAGACCTTGGCCATGGAGGCCATGGAATATCTGCCAGGGGAGCTCTTCCAACTAGTGTTCGTGGAGGCCTTCACCAGGGGACACATTGAGATCCTAAAGACTATGCTCTTGGTCTGGCCTTTACCCTACCAGCCCCTGGGACCCCTGATTAGCATGATGAATCCAGCCACTTTGGACATTCAGGAAGATGTCTCCCTGCTGAGAAAAGGATGCTTGATGCTCTGATGGATGCATGTGATGTGTTGCTGAGCCAGGTTTTATCCAGGTGAGTGTGCCCAAGGTATCCTGGACGGACGCCCTGGGTTTCCAGGAAGGGACAGAAAGTGTCAGGGACAGTGGGTGCTAAAGGGTGAGGTCGAAGATTCTGACAGGGACTGGCTGAGGATCAGAGAAGCCTGGGGCATTGCGGGGCCACTTAGGCATGCACTGCCAGATGGGGAGGTGAGCTGACGATG